AGTCCACCCGTCTCAAAGTTGCCACGGTTGAGGAACCCTGCGCTAAACCATCTCCAGTCTCCATTTGAAAACCTCCATGGAGGAGGAGGTCCCCCATTATTTTAGGCAGAATTTGCCACTGCTTAACAGTTTTTATAATCCAGAAATTCCTCCCAGAATCCAGCCTGAATTTCCTTTCTTTAATTTCACATCTTTCCGGCATTCCTCTTAGAACTGTAAGAGCCAAAGCATTGGTTCATCCAGTCATAATATTTTTTTATCCTATTCCTTGAATTAATGACTTTAAAACATTGCCACCATTTTTTTAAAAAAAGAAGCATCTTTGGGTTTGGGTGAGACCATATGGAGGAGTCTTTCTCCTCTTTTGCGAATTTACTTCTTGTTTTAATTGAGGATCCATTAAGCATAATTAACAATTAAAGATATATGCTGACTCTATATTAGAGAGGCTAGATAGGAAGATGACAACTATGGTTTTGAAATTGGAGGAAGAAACCTGTACCATGCTGTTGACGCTACTCTGACAGCTGAAAATGCACATGATCTGGAAGATCTAGTAATGATAGTCAGGGAGCACAGTGAAAAAATGGGTTTAAGAATATAAAGAAGACCAACTTAATCATCACGGCTATAACAACCAGCCTTAGAATTAACATTGAAGATATTGAATTAGTGGATAGTTTCTGCCATTTAGGATTGACTATCTGGAGAAGTTGGTCCTACATTCAGAGTTCTCACTCAAGGCACAAATGACCAGGCTCAAATTATCATATATGGACACTTTATATGAATACCTACTCTCTAAAGAAGCCCTTAATGCTGGGAAAGGTGGAAGGAAAGAGAAGAAGAAGATGACCAGCAGCAAAGAGGATGGACTCAGTTATAGTGGTGATGGACACACCATTGGAAGACCTGATAAACCAGATGAGGGACAGATTGTCTTGGAAAAAAGTCTACCTATGTGGTTGTTAAGAGTTGACAATGACTTGATGGTGCATAATCAATCAATCAACAGTAAAGCACCAGCAGTCAAGCAATACACCGCAGACTAGCACTTGGTAGAGTAGCAGTGAAGGCCTTGGAAAAGATATTCAAATGCTGTGCTGTATCTATTACCTACAAAGATCAGGATTGTGGAAGCCATGGTCTTCCCTGTGACCATCTACAGAAGTGAAAGTTGGACTTCGAAGAAGCAGGGTAGGAAGAGTATTGATGCTTTTGAACTTTGGGGTTGGAGAAGACTCCTGCGAATACCTTGTTACCAGCCAAGAAAACAAACCAATGGATCACCAAACAAATCAACCCCAAGTTCTCACTCGAGGCACAAATGACCAGGCTCAAATTATCCTACTTTGGACACATGATGCAAAAACCTAGTTCTCTGGAGAAGGCTCTCATGCTGGGAAAGGTGGAAGGAAAGAGAAGAAGAGGACAACCAGCAGCAAGGGGGGGATGGACTCAGCTACAGGGGCGATGGAGGTGCCATTGGAAGATCTGAAGGCCCAAGTTAGGAACAGATCGTCCTGGAGAAAATTTATCTGTGTGGTCGTTGAGAATCAATTCTGGCTTGGTGGCATATAATCACTCAACCAAACAAGCTCATGATAATTACTTTCTCATCCACTCAATAGCCTGTGGCATAATTTTGCAATGCCCACCTAATGAATTGTTCTTGAGTCATTGCTGATGTTGCAGCAGTAAACTATTTTTTGTTTTTATTTTAAAGGCGAACTTGGGCACTTCTAACTTACCTGCTTCATCCAGGAAAAACCTTTTAGTGCTGGTTCAGTTTTTAGGCATTGTTTAGGAATATATGTGCATTCTTGGGTAAAACGGAAGGCCTGTCTAATCTAGCATGGTGTTTGCTGTGAGCTGAGCCTGAAGGTAACATTAATTTTTTGTGTCTTCTTCCTGGTTCTAAATAATCTCAGGTAGACTGCCTTTGAAGCTGAAATTTCTATTTCCATCTCATTATCCTCATCCCTGTCATCACCAATGTTTGTTAAGAAAAATTCTGCAAAGGTTTATGTAGTCCAGTATCCTGTTATTCCTCTTCTTGTTGGTCTTCTCTTCAGATAGACTCCCTCTGAACCTAGAAGTTCTTTTTGCCATTCACAATAATGTATATTGTGGCAGCAATTTTGCTAGGCCTCTCCTAAACCCCACACCCTTGGAAGTCACGGTGTTACTAGAATTCTAGTCTTACAGGACAAGAAGGGAAAAAAAACCCAGGCTGTGTTTATCATTACACAGTGAGATACCACACTGTATTTTTTTAAACAGTGGACAGAATGTCAATAATCATGCATAAAACTGTTAAGACTACATTCAAACATATTAAGTGATTTTTCCCAGATAAATTCAGGTGCCCGTTTTTAACTTTAACTATAGATAATTCTGTAGTTTGCAAACAGTTGCTTATGTGAATTCTGTTTCTGTTTCTGCTTGTGTTTCTGTTAATAACATCATGTGCCCCAAGACAGGTTGATTTCCCCCCCCCCCCAGGGCTATGCAATATATTTCAAGCATGGGAGTGCAAAACTTCTATTTTGAACGTTGGGGAGCATTTGCATTTGAAAATAGTGTGTTCTGAGCTTGCCATGTTTCCAGGGTATTCAAAATTGTCTGATTCTATTTTGAAATGCAGTTTTGCACTTAAAAAATGAGGCAGCTGTGAAATGTTGCAGCGGAGCAGTCCAGAGCAAAATTCTTTGTAGATTACTCTGTACTTTACTCCTTTCACCTTGTGAGAGGACCTTCCGTTAATATCCTGAATGATGTGATAAATCTTACCGGCTGCTAGATCTCAATGAGTACCATTCTTTTCCCTCCCCAGCTGAACGAGCTCAAGCCAGGGGCGTCCGAAAGGGGAGTGGGCCAAAAACGTCAAAATGGTAATTGCAAGCACGCAATTAAAGTCCTGTCCCCTTTTTTTCATACATTGGATCAATGTTTCTCAAAGTATGGTTTGAGGCGTCCCCCAAGACCCTCTCAGGGGTCCGTGAAATCAAAATTATGTGCCAGTCTATGCTGAAAAATAAAACAATATTAGAACCCCATCAAACAATCACGAGAACTGGTAGCGGCAGCAAATGCATCAATTTTCATTTTTCATACGGTAAATATCAGTAAATATAACCCATGCAAACAAAAGCTCTTTCAGGGTCCTCCGTAATAAAAAAATAAGTGGGTTAGGGTCCTGAGAGAAGAAAGTTCAAGAAACATTGCGTTTTTCTTTTTTAAAAGGATTCTGGAGATCCTTACAGACCTCAGCCAATCATAATTTTCAAAAAATATTTTGTGTGTTATGTTTTTTTGAAGTCCCCTAGTGTCACGAGGCCGAGATGGGTGGCTATGTAAATCCTATAAATGAAGACAGTCTTTCAAAGAGGAAAGCCAGGTCAGACCTAATTGGAATACGGAGGGGAGACCACCAGAACATCTAGACTGGGCATGAAGAAAATACCCCAGAAGAAAGCAGCAGCAAAACCACGTCCGTATGATTTTATCAGTGCCAAGAAAACCTCAACAGCAGTAGCACACGACTCAAGGGAATTGTCTACTTTACCCTTACACCTTGTGACGCCAGTTGGTTTGCACCATGGGATGAGAGGGACATTGGAAGATGGCATTTTGTTTGCGTTCTGCAACTCATCTCAGTGAAAACACAACTCCACCCAAGAGCGCCTGAGCTCCTGCGTTTTTAAATTCCACTTTTGAATTTAAAACAACACCAGGGCGCTGCATCTTCCTCTGCATTTAATTAGGGGAAGGAGGCAGGAACAGAGCAATGTAAACGTCGATGGCAGATTTGTCTGGGGCACCTATTTGCAAATGCCTCGTGAATTGTTTCCATAAATACCCCGGGCGAAAAGCTGTGCAGAATCCCTCAAGGAGTTTGCAGAGAAGTATTTTTCCTTCTCCTCTGACTCCCGTGCGGGAAACTGGTCCTCAGGTTTGCTTCAGAGGAACGATGACCTATTTTTCTCCTTAAAATATTTCGGCGCCATGTTTCTGCTGCAAAATCGCATCCAGTCAGTCAGCTTAAAAGGACAGGAAAATCATATTCAAACAGTTTGGGGGGTTGGTAAAATCAGCTAGAAAATGCCTTTTTCTTTTTTCAAAGCTATTAACAGAGGGTGCAGATGACTGTTTATAAAAAAATATCTGGGAGTTTAAACCTCCTAAGCTGCAAAGGGGAATAATGGAAGGAATTGTATGAAGTTATGTAAGAAGAAGAGTGGAAATCGGCATTCACCTCTGTTGTTCTTGTTGCTTTTTCTGAAGTTGCTTTGTATTTTTGTAGAATATGGGCTTTTCCACATTTGTTTATACCTCTCTACCTTAGGAGGAGGAATTCAGGACACAGAAACTTAAAATAGCATCTGAAATGTTAACTCTTTCAGGGGGATTCACTTGCATGAAAAGTTACAAGTAGGTTACAGTTTATATCTTAGTTAACAACAACAAAATGTTCTTTTTTTTTAATAACAATTTGCTCTTGAAAAGCCTCGGAGAATGAAACAGCGGTCAGAAACCGTAAATCCAGCTTCAGAGGCTTAGGAAGATCTTTCATTCTCTTCCTCAGCTTTCCCTTCATTGATATTCTCCAATGGGGGCATCCGAGAAAGGACCTTGAACGCAGACAGAGTATTTGATTTTGGGCCGAATCGCGTGGGAAAACCAGTCTTTTCAAAAGGGGACCGAGACACTTGAAGCCAGGGTGTGCAACTGGTTTTGAACCCGTAAATGGTGCCGCGTTCTAGAAGACGGCTGAGAAGAAAGCGAAGGGCAAGGGCAAAAAATACTTGATTTAATCTGACGAAAATGTCGTGGTAATTTAATTCGGTACCCCGCATGGGATTACGACAATTCAGCAGCAACTTTAGGAAGTTGTAAACCTTGGTTTGATTTTTATTCATTTCCTTTTATGTCCTGCTTTTAATTCAAGAGCTCAAGGCGGTGTAGGTAGTGGTTGCTCTTCCCTTTTTTCTCCCAACAACAACCCTGTGAGGTAGGTTAGGTGGAGTCCCCCCTCCCCCTGGGAGCTTCTACGGATGAAGGGGATTAGAACCTGGGTCTCCCTGCTCCTAGTCCAGCCCCTTCCCCGCTAGACCTGATTGGTCCTTGGGCTGAGAAGGAGGGACTGGCCCAAAGTCAACCAATGAGCTTCTGTGGCTGGGGGGGGGACTAGAACCTGCGTCTCCCTGCTCCTAGTCCAGCCCCTTCCGCACAAACCTGATTGGCTCTTTGGGCTGAGAGGGAGGGACTGGCCCAAATTCAGCCAATGAGTTTCTGGGGGCTGAGAGAGTTTGAATCAGGGCCATGCATTAATTGCTATGTCACACTGGCTTAAAAGTTGTCTAGCATTTGGAGTGAAGAGACTGAGGAGCTCACTTGGTGATTATATCCCTGTCTTTCTCTCTCAGCCCAGCCTACCTCACAGGGCTGGACGTTGTGGGGCAAACTAAGGGGAGACCACTGCCCCACGTACGCCACCTTTTCTTTGGCAGGAAAAAGCAAAACAACCAGATTCTGCAGGGCTGGTGGACGTTTTTGAAATTTTTAAAAAAAGCAAAATAAATGCAAAAATAAATCAGGACGCTGGCAGGCAGAAAGGTCAGATTATCCATTGAGTTAGCTTTGCGATATCTACATTTTGCTCTCCAAGGTCCTGAGCTGGTTAAAAAAAGGTCTTTCCTACCTTTTTTAAACGGGAGATGCCAAGATTTTATCCTTTTATAAAGAGGGGGTGTGGCTCTTTCATTGTGCATGCAAAGGCCCCCAGGGTTGGCGAGTCCCTGGGGAGACCCAACGGATGAGTCCATCTTTTGCCCCTCCATCGCTCAGAGCAATGGATGAGATGAAATCAGGTTCTTTCTCTGCAAATGAAAAGGTCTTGCATGATTACAAAAGCATCTTTGTACTGTATTCTCTCTGGATGGGGGTGGATTTTAATACTGATTGGTTGGAACTTCTCCACAATATAAAATATTCCCAACCCCTCTCCTTCCCAAAAATCAGCATTTCAGGGAGGTCTCTGGGGAAGTTTGCTCTCCAGTTAGCTATGGGTATGGTGACCATATCTTCTTGGAAAAAATAAAGGACAAACGTGAAAAAGGGGCAAATAACCTGAAAGGTTCATAAGAATTTTAAAAAATTAATTATTTATGTGTATAGCTTTGCTTTATGAAGGAAAACTCAAGGGCACCACCAAGAAAATAACTAATTACATTGAATAAATCTAAAGAACAGGACTGTTCTTTACAATAATCAGTTAATTAATTAAACAATAAAATAATTTATAATGAATAAATGAATAAATAATGGTCACTGTAGCACTGGGAGAAGGCAGGGTTGTTAGTTTGGCTGGGATGAAATCCACAAAACAGACCATGGTTTGCCACCGAAAAGATCCTAGTTTGCAAGGAGCTGTGCGTGCAGAGAGACAATGCATCTAAGGCAGTGTGTCTCAACCTTGGCAAGTTTAAGATGTGTGGACTTCAACTCCCAGGATTCCCTAGCCAGCATGCTGGCT